GTTAACACTAATACCAAAGCATTAAGTTATTTTTTTAAGACTAATGCGAAAGTATTAACTGAGTTATTTAACTTTAATACATAAGTATTAGCGTTTTCTTAACACTAATGCTAAGACGACACCCTTAGTCACAAGTCATCAAAATATATTCTTTGACCAATCAAAATCAAGTCACTAGACGTTGAAAAATTTTCTCCAGTCAAAAATTACATGAATCAAGTCATATTTACTTGACTTGCTCATCTCGAGTGGCGCTGCTCACTTGTTTGATGTAAAAAAACAATGTGGTCAATAATATGAAATATTTTTTGTTATTCGTTTGTTTCGAAAGACATCTTTTATGTAATAATTTTTGTTTTTTATCACTTTGAAAATGCAACTTTAAAGAGGTTCACTATTTCAATTTTATTAGTAGATTAATAAAATTCATATCATTTGATTTTTAGTCTAGTTGATTTCTTTGAAATGTCGATTAATGATGATGCATTAATATGGATCGATTTAGAAATGGATGGATTAGATCTAACCAAAAATTTTATCTTAGAAATTGCTTGTATTATTACTGATTTCGATTTAAAGAAAATTTATCAAGGTATTATTTTTTTTTTTTTTTTTGTATATTTATATTTTCTATTAAATGAATTATTTTCTAGGACCTGATCTTGTTATTCATCATCCAAAATCATTACTTGATGCTATGGGACCATGGTGTATGGAACATCATACAAAATCAGGTCTTGTTCAACAAGTTTTAGATAGTAAATTATCAATGTTGGATGCTGAAAATGAAATAATAAATTTTATTAAACAAATAACATTATTATCAACAAATAAAAAACGTCTTATTCTTGCTGGTAATTCTGTTTATGTTGATCGATATTTTCTTGAAAAAGATATGCCATATTTAAATTCTTTACTTGATCAATCAATTCTTGATTGTAGTACATTAAAAGAATTAATTCATCGTTTTAATTATAAAATTTATTTTAATGCACCAATTAAATCTGGAAATCTTCATCGTGCATTAGATGATATTCGTAATAGTATAGAAGAATTAAAATATTATCAAAAAACAGCATTTAATGAAGAAAAACAACAAGATAAATTACCTATAATAAAAAATCTTACACAATATCTTATATGGATTAATATTAATTCAATAACATTAATACATTGTATTTTAACTGATAATAATCTTAATATAATTGATGAAATTATTGATGGAAAAACAGATGATGATTTAATGAAAATTTTTTATCGAAATAATATTTATCAAGAAAAACTTATTGTTGTTGCTGGTAAATTTTTAGGTCCAATTCGTGCTCAATTAAAAAAATTAACACCTCAATTTAATGAATTTTGTCATTATCGATCAATTGATATTGATGTTATATCAATTCTATGTGAAAAATGGTTTCCAAATATATATGAACAACGACCTTTTAAGAATGATAATGATAATAATTTAAAAAATTCTATTGAACTTCTTCGTTTTTATCGTTCGACTATATTTAAATAGAGAAAAAAAAGAAAAGAAAAAAAAAACAAAGTTTTTATAAAACATTAAAAAAAAAGAGGAAAAACACTTTTTGCTGAATGTTTTGGTTTATCATCATTATGTATTTTTGTTATAGCTGTTCCTGATGGAATTATTTGTTGAACTTTTGATATTGGAGCAGATGATGATACATTTATTGTACGATTTGTTCCAGTTGTTGTTGTTGAACGAAGTGCTATAATTGTCGAACGATTATTCATTGATGATTGATTTATTGAACTATTTATTCGAGATGCACGTTGAAGAAGATAGTGATTTGATTGTTGAATCAATGGAGATGATGGAGTTTGTAAACAAGTATTTAAATTACGAACACAAACATTGACTAATTGACTAACACTGTCAAGTAATGATTGAGTATTGGGAAATTTACGTTGTGATAATAGAAAAAATACTTCAATAAAAGCTGAAAATGGTAATCCTACAAATAAAATATATACATGTGAAAATAAAAACAATCTGCAATGTGATCAGTGATATCTATGTCGGCGCCAGTGGCATATTTCTAATCGCGATGGACATCTCTGGCAATGGTTAAGCAACTTCTTGATAGTTATCTCTAGAGCTGTAACTCATATAATTTATTCAAGTGGTGCCTTCTATTCATGTTCACATTCAGAATCAAAGGATGTTCATTGAGAGAGATTTTATTTTATAATCAGAAAAATGAATATGAGAAAGAAGATGATATAGATCAAAATAATTTTGAAGTCTTAATTACATTCCGATATTAATATAGATTTTGTAGTTGTTGAATTTTAGTCTTACTAAATGATTCTATCTAGCTAACAAGGAAATATTCTCAGGTGTCTCGCATATGTAAAAAGTCTAAAAGGATTGCGATCGACAGCTTTTTCTTCGGGAGTTACGACTACTTTCCTGATTTTCCAAGCGAAAGCTAGCATAAAAAGAAAAATTCATAACTCTATCAAGGAAATTCATAGAGAGCTGAAATTTGTTTTGATGGTAGTCTTAAGAGTCCTCTATGTATTCTGAAAGTTTCACAATTCTATCACACTCTTTTCCTGAGTTATAGGACATTTCTATATGTAAGGATGTGAATGAAAGTATACGCGTTCGTGCTCTCTTTCGCCCACACCCTTACTTATAGAAATGTTCTATAACTCGGAAAAAGAGAGTGATGGGATGGTGAACTTTCAGAGTATATAGAGAATCCATAAGACTACCATCAAAACAAATTTCAGCTCTCTATGAGTTTCCTTGATAGAGTTATGAATTTTTCTTTTTATGCTAGTTTTCGCTAGGAAAAGCAGGAAAATGGTCGTAACTCCTGAAGAAAAAGCCATCGGTCGCAATCCATTTAGACTTTTAACCTACTCGATATCCTCTATCGAATGATATATAAACGAACGAAATCGAAGCGATTCTTGTCAAACAGATTTTGAGAGAATTATGTTTCGTGTTATAAACAGAAATCAAAAAGAAAAACCAACTTGAACTGTTCCATTTAAATATTTATATAGGTTGAATTTTACTCATTAAATTTAGTTTACGATAGAACTCATTTAATATGATCTTTGTTATTCTTATCATATATTCTAACAACTATTTCTTGCAAATCAGTCATATCTCAAATCTGATATAGATTTTACTTAAAAGAGAAGTATTCGAAATATTCACTTCCGTTTTGATTCATTTATACTTGAGAAAAAGCTTAAGAGGTTTCGAATTCATGACCTATTAGCGAAGAGCTATAGTCTTGTTATTGAGAATCAGTCATTTCGAAAAAACTAAAATGAAGAGTTTCGATTTGAAATTTTAACTTATAGAGAGATTTAATAATCATTAGATAGTTCTGAAAGTTTCAACAAAAACAAACACATCTTTCTCGAAGTATTCAATTTTCACGTAAAGTCGATTATTGTGTTCTCTTACGGTAAAGAGTTATTTACTTTTTTAGATATTACATACTTCGAGAAAAACATATTCATTTTTGTTAACATTTTCAAAACTATTTAAAGATTATTATATCTATAAAGCTTCAGATAAAAACTCTTCATTTTAGTTTTTTCGGTATGACTGACTCTCAGTAAAAGAAAGCGGCTATAACTCTTCTCCAGTAGGTCATGGGCACTCACCACCTTAGACCATTTCTTATCTCGGTATACTCTATTGAATTAGGTATAAATGAGTGAAAACGGAACTAAATATCTCGAGTACTGTCCTCATTAATGTCAATAATCGATGTGCTGAAAAAAATAAAGAAGTAATGTCTCTAGTAAATGATAACTCTAAGTACTCATAGTTCATTGTTGTTTTTACATATAACTCTACTGGTCTGGATTTGTAACCAGTACTAATAGTGATAAGTACAATACTTAATATCGATTGATTAAAACAATCGGACAAAGAAAACTCTATTGTCATGATCGCAGCTACTCGATCTTCAGTAGATTTAAGTGACTCACAATCATCAAGTATTTCATAGCAATTCAACATCATGTATTTATAAAATATAATTTTTTTCTAATATATTCTACCTGTTGAAGAAGTACGTAAAACAAATTGTTGCCATTTTCGTTGTATTTGATAATAAAGTATATCAATAGTTGGTGCTGTAATTGTTTCATTAATAATTCCACATATACTACATAAACAAAGAAAATCAAAAATAATAATAATATTATTATTATTATATTAAATAAAAAGATAATTTAAAACAAACTTTGCAAAATTACGAAATTGTCCACTAGTCATTGTTTTATGTCCAAGCATAATAACAAGTTGAATATAAATATAAGCAATTTTATCTAATAAAAATAAATGTCGATATTTTGTTTTATAATTCAAAGGAAAAATCATTTTTAATTTTTGAATTGATCCAACTAGAATTGTATCAGTTGTTATTATAGAACGATTTGATGCTGATTTAAGATTTGATCGTTTTATTATTGTTGATGATGTTTGATATAAATTATTACGAATATTTTGATTTGTTTCAATTTGTCTTGTTTCTGGTGTTCCACTTTCATCATCATCAGTTGAATCAACTAATTTTTTTGTTCTTTTTATTATTTTTGGACTAGTTGATTTTCCATCATTATTAGGTAATAATTGTGTATTTGTTGTTATATTATTTGATTGTATTAGATCTATTGTATGTGTTGGAGATGTAATAAGAACTTTTTGTTGTTGATTTTGTTCTTGTTGTTCTTGGTGTAAACGTATAAATTCTTTTGTTATACTATCCGATGGTCGAGAAAAAAATGGATTTGATTTTACATCAAAACGTGTTTTTCGTGCACTTTTAATTTTTTCATTTCGTTCTTCAACACGACGTTGTGCTACTTTTTCAACACGTTGTGCCATTAATTCATCATGAACTTGTGATTGTACATGACGTACACTAAATTTTATTAAATAGAAAAAAAAACACACACATTGATCTTTAAATATATTAGAATAAGATATAAAATATTAATAAGAGATAGATAGAATCATTTCTAATTCTGTTGTATAAGATTTCGAACCGCCATTTTATCGTTTTATACCAATAGTTGTTCTCCGATTGGTAGAGAGCTGCGGGTCCTTCCAGACCCGGGCCCGGACCCGGGTCCGACTGGGTCCGGGTCCGGGTTCGGGTCTAAACCTAAGAGGAAGGTCAGACCCGGTCTGCATTAAGTCATGAATGGAAATATATAACAATAACAATTGAAGTTAACAAAATTGAAAAAGAAACAGTCAGAAATAATTTTACACTCATTTGACCTTTAAAGTCTCCAATGAAGAGCTAAAATTGTGTTCCCTTTTCTGTTCATGTACATATAGGGTGTCAAATATTGGTGAAAAGAGGATCGGGTCTAGACCCGGCCGGGTCTCGGTCTAGACTCAGCCGAGTCCGGGTCTGAAAATTTAGTTTTTCCGGGGCCCGGGTCCGGGCCCAAAAAAACATGGACCCGCAGCTCTCTACCGATCGGCAATATAATGCTGAGGATAGTGCGAACAAACGTACAACAAGAGTTACGTTGGCCCTGAAAATCTCTAGTGTAGGCATTAATAATAAAGATAATGTTACGTACGATGGTGTACGTTCGTTTACAATGGTCGTAATTCTGAAGTCAAGTACTACAATGAAACCTAATTGTATACAATCCTATATAGTCGCTCATGGCATCATAATCTTCATGTTGGGTAGTTACAACTAATAAATCATGAATTCTTATGTCTTGTGTGTCAACATCACATATTTGCATGAAGACATAAAAATATATAATTATGTCAATAGAAACTAGAAGAATATTCTTAATGGTCTAATAAAAGATTCAAAATCATTATAATTATAATTTGAACAGAAGTTCAAAAACAAATACATATTAAACTTTTACGATTCTTCAGAATTTGAAATTAAAATCTAATCGAATATCTAAGCAAAGATATGCATTATGTACTATTTGAAACGATATACTTACTATAATATAAAAATATACACTGACATAGAAGACAAACTTCAAATCTTTTTCTACAAAAATTTCATTAGAAAAGAGATAGAAACAAAAAAAAATCATACTCTGGTTATAGAAAGATGTCATTTGATAGTATACAATCTACTTACAATGTAGACAATTTTTTCTTTGGTAATGCTAATTTAAGTGTTTCTAATACTAATGGTTTTTTAATTTCTTCATCAATTGGACTTGATTGATAAATTAATTTTCCTAGAAAATAATCGATTATACTTTTTGTCAACAGAAAAATGTGTGTGTGTGTGTGTTTTGTACTTTTACCTGCTCCATTTTCTTTATCAAAATCAATTCGAAGTGAAGGATTTGCATTAACTTCAAGTAAAATTGGTTTTAAATGATCAGTTAGAATTATATCAAAACCAACAATCTATATATATATAAAACACGAAAGCTATTAACGTAATCCCTATACGAAATTAGATGAAAAATGGCTCGAAATTTTTTCTATAATTCATCATAGAACTTGGAAGAAGCAAA